GTGATGAAAAGGACTCAAATGGGCAATGCAGTGTCAGCGAAGCATCAACAAGCAATGTACACCCAGATACATACATAAGAAGTACAGTGTAGCGCCTGTCTCTTATACACATCTAGATGTGTATAAGAGACAGGCCTTGGGGAGGTTGAGTGGGTGGTTGACCCATAAAAACGATTAAGTTCACAAGGGAAAAAAAAAAGAAAAACAAATAATTGCAGTGCCCACTCGCATTATTTTACTTGCCAGGTTTCAAACTCATCATCTCTGTGTGTGTGTGTGTGTGTGTGTGTGTGTGTGTGGTGTGTGTGTGTGTGTGTGTGTTTCGTCATGTCGACTATACACAATTCCCCAAATAGAGTGTGTGTGTGTGCATGTCAGCCACTTGTGCTTGGTAATGGTTTTTTGCTTTTCTGCACTGCTAGGAAATGTGAAAAAATGCCGCTGTGACAGCTACAGTGAATGAAATGGTTTTCCAAGCAGAGATTGAATGACTCCCTTTTTTGCACTACAGGCTTGAAGGCTTCCCCCAAATGTGCCCACTTTGGTTCACCATGAATGTAGTCATCTTTCCGACCCAAAGGACATGATGAGGGTGATGTTGTGCTGGGGGGGACAACTGTAAAGGCCCCTTCAATTCGTCCAAGCCAAACCGAAGTAGAGACCGGAATGAGAAAGAGTGCCTTGCCCTCCCAGTAGGAGAGGGAGTGGGATGTGTTCTCATGCCATTGGGAAATGAAAGAGTCTCTGTCCAGGCCCTGGCTGGAGAGTAAATAAAATGCCTTCTTCTGCCGTCGGAAAGTGAATAGAATCACTAGCGTCTTCACCTGAATAGAATGCCCGGTCGTTATAGCTGTATTTGGCACAACTTGCGGCCCAGATGCAGCCATAATGACCGGGCGTTCTATTCGGGGGAAGATGGTAGCAAAAAGTAAAGTTAAACGCCTTTTTGTCTTTTCGTACCATTGGGAAGTCGATAGAATGCCTTTCCCTGCAAGTGGGATTTCCCTTTTCAAGCCACTGGGAAGAAAATGGAGTGGGAGTACACTCCTCCCCCCCCCCCCCCCCCCCCCCCCCCTCTCTTTGTCTTCTCTCTTCTCTCAATAAATGTAAAGGTCAGATCCCACAACTCGGGGACAAAACCTTGTGGGGGGTTTATGTTTGTTTTGTTGGGACAATGCACCCCATAAGGTCTGGTGTCCCAAGTTAGGGATGACCTGCCCCATAAGGATTGCTCAATGAGGTCCTTTCTGCAAATAAGCATACTGGTTGTGGCGTTTCATGATGACGTATCTGAGACATTGCACTCACTGCTAAGGTTCTTCTGGGTCAATGTGGGCCTCCCAGCTGTGAATTGCGATGTGCCCCCTCCTCCTCTCTCTCTCTCTCTCTCTCTCTCTCGCATGCGCGCGCTTGTTCTCCCGGTTCGTGCATCTTGCGACAGATGCTTTTTTTTTTTCAAGGAAGGCTGCATTCAGATGGCGATCGAAATATCGAACGCTGTTGGTGCCTTTCGGATCTGACGTTCATATGATGGACAGATGTAAGGAAGGTATATAATATTTTGTGGGTTCACCGGAGCAGTGTGGGGATTGTAGAGTGTTGTGGTTGAAGTGGGGCGAGGCTGTGATGTGTGTTGCCAGCCAGTAGTCAAGTGTCCTATACACACCGACAGGATCCTGAGTATGTGTTGAGACTGTAGGGCCGAATTCGTTCTGTGAGTTAAACCACCTGTACACCCGGGCTCGGCGGCCTTCTTCCACGTGCCAAGCTTTTCCGAATTGTAAGCAGTGCACTTTTTTTTTCCCTCTTTTGACTCGTGCCGCCAGGCCTTGTGGTCCGGTAGCCCTGAGGGTCTGAAAGTTTTGTAGGTGATGAACGATTTCTCCACAAGGATGAGGGCTGTGTACTTGCGGTGTAGAGCAGAATAAAGTATGGAGCAATGTCTTCCTGGCAACGGGAAGGGAGTAATTGAATCAATGAAATGCGTCGACAACCATCGTAAGGTTTGCCTGGTGGTAAAGGAGAGCACTGTGTCACAGACTCAGTATCCTGCGCAAAGCGAGGGAGACAATATCGTTGGGCGAGGGAAAACTACAAATGGACAAGGTGTGTGTTTGTGTGTGCGTGTGCACACTACTTGAAGCATTACCACAATAGTGTTTCTCTGCTGCCGTGTTTCTCAACTGAATAGAACCATGAACGACCCCCTTGCATGCAGACACGAACTCAGAAGAGCAGAGCAGAGATATGTGTGCAGAGGGGGGAGAGAGAGAGAGAGAGAGAGAGAGAGACGGGTGATTTCTGTGACTGCAGGGTCAAGGAGATCACATGTGGAGAGAGAGAGAGAGAGAGGGAGGAATAATCGTTGTCCTTTGGGTGATTGTGTGAGTGCAGGGTCGTGGAGATCGCGTTGTGCTCCATGTGTATGACCTCAGCCAGGGTCTTGCCAGGCAGCTATCTGGAACTTTTCTGGGAAAAGTAATTGATGGAATATGGTAAGATTTGTCTCCTTGTTTTGCCTGCCTGGTTGTATTTGTCTTTTCAAATCAAAACAGATCCAGCTCCGTGTCCATTCAGGGGAGTGTCAGTCCTGTTCCATTTCCTGGACTAGTAAGTCATAACATATCATGAACAGTTGGGGCTTTCCTTCCTGTTCCATTTCCTGGACTACTGGCAAGTCATAACATATGATGAACAGTTGGGGCTTTCCTTCCTTTCTTTTCCTTCCCTTGTTTTTTTTTTTCTTTCTTCGCCTTCGCTTTCTGATTTACAGTGTGACAATATATACCGGGCAGTTCTGTTTGGCAACTTTGGCAATGTATATATACATGAACTGACATACTCTGCAACTCTCTTTGACCCAACTCAGTTGAATGTGATTGTACCGAAAACAGATGTTGAAATAAAACAGGACCTCTGTCTCCATATTTAATAGTCTTATTGGCAAGTGATATTCAATCGTTCGAAGGACCCCTGAATAGCATTTGATAACTCCTCGATCAAAAGCATTGTCTATCAGATAGCATTTTTCTTGTTGGATTCCTGTGTCTCCATGTCACCGGCAGTGTCGCATTGGAGTGAGATTCCAGGTGATGTCGAGTTGTCGTGTATTCCCTGTTGCTGTTTTTCATCACTGTTGGTAATCACTGACTCTTTTTTTTTTTTTTCCCCTTTCTCGAAGTTTCTCGTTTCACCGGGTCTTTTCAAAATTGTTCAGACTTGTCCGCGCTTCCGCGAGCGGAATTATCCCATTTGTTCCGCTGAAGAAAACTCCGGTCGTAGTTCAAATGTTAGTCTGAGGACTCTTCCACATCAGGGGTTTGGTTGGCGTATTTGTGCTAAATAATGACTCGGTTCATTTAAGAAAGTCTTAAAGTGAGGCACTGCTCTTGACCCATAAGCAGTGCCAGGATGTAAAATCTATGTTGAGATAAAGAAAAGCAATTGAAATTGAGATGTAACTTCCAAATAACAATTACATGCAATGGTAGTTCACTGTTTTTATTTAGTTACTTATTCATTTATTTATTTTTCCCTTTTCGAATCAGATTTAAAAAGCTCGAATTGATGGTAGTTCATTATAAGGCCCTGCTTTTCAAATATGATTTTCAAATAGGAAAACGGTGTAATGGTACATTTGCTATTGCGCAATCTATGTTGGGTAAATCCCATGCCTGCTTCTTCAGTGGTGCTCTGAACTTCGTCTTTAGAACTACATTTTTTTACTTGTTAGCGGGACAGGACGTACACGACTTGAGTGGTGAAGGTATGTGCGTGTTTTGTTGGTGCTACCGTCTTCCCCCGAACACAACGCACCCTTATTTTGGCTGTATCTGGCCGGAAATATAGCTTGTATACATTATGTTCGGGGGAAGACGGTAGTAGAGAGGGACTTGTGATACAGGATAAGGATAAGCGTAATTTCAGCAATATGTTAGGAATCTGAGACCTAATCTGAAATATATGGCATCCGCGCACAGTTTTGAAACGAAGATGTCCTGGACCTGATGGATGTTTTTCTGGCTCTTTGGCACGTATGAGCCAGTCTGTCGTGATCGGGATGACTGTATTTGAAGGATCGGATTGGGAGCATGATGTGTTGTGTTCTGTAAGGCATATGTGAAGAGTGCTCAGCTGCCGATAGTCGAATGGCACACAGGTCTGACTGCTGATAGAAGGCCAATATGAAAGGTTCACGACTCGTTAAACTGTCCCTTTAAGCAGATGAGCGACGGACTGGCATAGAGTTAATGGATTTTGGCGCTCTCCAGGGTAACGTGTCTATGTGCTGCACGTACACGCGCATAGAGTTTATGGATTTCGGTGCTCTGTCCAGGGTGCATGCCCACGTGCTACTGCCCCTGTGCCACATGTACACGCATAGCCATCTTAACTGCCAGTAGCCTTGTGTGGCTGACTTGCTGCGTCTTGTTGTGTGGATCTTGTCCTTTTCTGGCTGTGGGTTGTCGACTGGATGGATGGTGGATCTGGTGCCCTACCTCGGACAGGCATACTGGTAAGTGATCTCCGAAGCGCTTGCAGATTTTTTTTTGAGCTTTCTTGGTATGTTGTACAGAGATGGAAGAATGATGTCGATGGTGTCGAGTGGAGAGGAAGAGGAGAGGGAAACAGGGGAGGGAGTTCGAGGATCAGCGTTTGGTCTGTGAGAGAAATCGTGGTGGTTGTCAGCAGAGCAGAACCTACCTTCTTGTTGTGTGTTCCTTCAGCTTTTGGTGTTTGAGAGAAATCGTGGTCGTGCCAGCAGAGCACGTACGTTGTCCCTTTGTGTCATGTGCTCTTCTTTCGTTATGTGTCCGGTGAGGTAACGACGACTTTGTATCTAACTCATCTTGCATTTTTCTAGCGGACCGTCATCTGCATTGGAGGATGACACTTGCATCTCTTTGTCAAGTGCTCAGTGATTGTGTTCTGTGTGCTGTTGACTAGGTAATGCATTCTATTCCTGCCTTTTTTTTTTTTTTTTTCTCCTGGGGCTTTTTCTTGCGCCGTTATGTATGTTAGCTATCAGGATGGGATGTATTTTGTTTGTGCGAATGCCTATAGTGTTGTTTGTGTATAGTGTTCCTTTTCAATCTACGAATCATTGAGTGATTGTCGTTGCATCCTCAATTTTCAGTGTGCTGTTGCTCTTGTTGTTGGGTTCAGGATGATGATGATGATGATGACGACGATGACGATGATGACGACGATGATGATGATGATGACCATGACAATGATGGTGATGATAGAGATACTTCTTATGGAGCTGTGACTGTGTGCTGTTGTGGCAAGTGTGTCCTTCGGGAGAGAGAATGATGATAATGATGATGAGGATGAGGATGGAAATACTTCTTATGGAGATGTTACTGTGTGCTGCTATGACAAGCCTGTCCTTCTGTATCGGGGAAGTTTGACAAGGTTTAATGGTTGTGTGGTGACTCTGTGACTCTACTCGATGCGTTGATGCAGGGATTGTTGTTTATGGGAAAGAGTATTGGTATGGAGGCGGCATTCAGTCTGCAGCACCTGGCCACAGCCCATATGGCCGTCCAGTCCAGACGGTCACTCTCGGGTACACACAAGTACCGGAGGAATTGTTCCGGGAATTCTTGGCAGAGATGTCGGAGCGGTATACTCCTGAAGCTTATAACCTGATGAGTCATAACTGCAACAACTTCAGCGACGAGGTTGCGAATCTCCTTGTGGGGAGGGGCATTCCTGATTACATTGTTGGTCTTCCACAAGAAGTGCTGGACTCGCCCATGGGTGCTCTCATTGGTAAGGAAAACAGAGGCCAGTCACTCCTTATCCCAACACCTATATCAATTACACTTGTGGCTGGAAATGTTGAGGGAAATGAAACTCTCAAGGTTTTGCATGATTTCGTGGTGGGCCCTTCGTGCTCTTTCGTAGGTCGTTAACCATTGTTTTTTGTTTTTTTTTTCGCTTGCTTTTCGCTTTCGCTAAACCATTGTTTGTTGTTCTAGAAGGGAAAAGAACACTCTCTTTTGTCATATGGGGTGCGAATCCTTTTTACCCCTCGAAGAATGTGCCTGGGATCAGATCTCTGTTGGGGCCAGTTTACTGTGTGCCTGCCTGTTATGATTCCACAGCACGAGTCTCTCTCTGTCTCTCTGCCTCTCTCTCTGTCTCTCTCTCTGTCTCTCTGTCTCTCTTTCTGTCTCTCTGCCTGTTATGATTCCACAGCACGAGTCTCTCTCTGTCTCTCTGTCTCTCTGTCTCTCTGTCTCTCTGTCTCTGTCTCTGTCTCTCTGTCTCTCTCTCTCTCAGTACCTGTTGAGGAGGATGCACTGTACCATGCTATCGGGACTGCTTGGGACTGCTTTCACATTATGTAGAAGGAAGTAATGTGCGTGGGTGCTCAAAATGTTTCTCGTCACTGCGTGCATTTCCCTGGAAATTGGTGCTGTAATGTTGCTCAGTATGGAATTGGATCTGTGATGTGTTTCGAGTCTTTCGACACTTCAATGTTGCCACTACCTGCTATCTTGTGTAGATTGTTGCGTTAGTGTGGCTTGGGGATGGGGAATCAGGGGAAAAAATGTTTACCCTGCCCGTCTCCCTTCGCTCTGCCAGGGGTGAATTCCCAATTCCCACTTGTTAGTCAAGGAGTATTTTGATACTGTCTTCACCCGAATAAAACGCCCGATCATGCCCAAGCGGGGTCTTTCCAGCCTGCGCCAGGTGTTAGAGAGCTTGGGTACTGCTCTACCCCCCGCACTGAGCAGATACAGGTAGGAGTCGACCCATAACGTTAGGATAGCTTAGTCCTGTTTGTTAGTTAGTGTACTTAAGACTGGTGGCTCTACTCTTGAGTCTAGGATCTTAAACCCAAGTACATAGTGTAGGGTAGGTAGAGGGAGATCAAAACATATTGAGAGAAGAAAATATATATATTTTTTTCCTTTTGCCCAGCCTCGTCCTGACCCTGGTGCGACGTGTATTCCCGTTTTTTTCAACACTGATTTAAGTAGTGGTGGTTTTTAGGACAACGGCCTTAAACCCCACTGCCTTTCTAGGTGTTTGTAAAAATGGGAAAGTAGTAAAATACTAGAATTATTATGGAGTAGTAAAAATGCAGCTGTCCCCCAAATGAGGAGAAGTCAGCTTGAAAGCCTTGCATTGAAAAAAAAAAAGAGAAAGAATGCCCGATCATTATCGCGTTATCTGGACTGAAATCGTGCCAAATACAACTACGATGACCAGGCGTTCTATTCGGGTGAAAGGCGGTAGCCCTTTTCGCATTTTGGCTTTCAGAAGTTTCCTCTCTTGTTTGGTCATCAAAACACGTGTTCGCTTCATTTCCAGTATTGCTACGAACACCACGTCAGGGAAGTTTTGTGACCCATGCAGCTGACAATACTCGCTTGCGTCAGTCTTCACTGTATTTGCCACACCTGGTTATGTAGTATGTACCCCCCTGAGCTCCAGCAAATCTGCAGGTGATCTCCCCTGTAATGAGTGGATGCAAGACCACACCCCCTATGCCCTCCATCTCTTCTGTATTTCAGGAAAAATGTGCTTGAGCCTGAAGGCTGGTTCATTGGGCCATAGAAATATCAAGAACGGTAAAAAAAAAAAAAAAAAAAAAAAAATAACGTTGTCGAATTTATAGCGCTGGAAGTGTACCTCCTGTTGATAGTTGTCTTTTTTTTTTTTTTTCAATTGTCTTCGCCTTTTTGGTTAGTGGTCTTTTATCAGGCTGGGCCCATGTTTAGACATTTTGAAAGTGTGCACTTTTTGAAAATTTCCTGTATTGTGTTTCCTTCTTTTTTTTTCCAAAGGGGGAAATGTCCATATCATTATTGTCATAGACTCATAGCTCTGATTACGTTACCATTTGAACTTGTGACCTGTCTATGAACGGAGCTGCGTTTGCCTGGCGTCCAGCCACAGGCGGGCGGGTCTTCCTCTTTTTGGTGGTCTGTTTTATTTTTTATTTTTTATTTTTTATTTTTTTTATTACTGTTTCATCTTGCAGCACGAATGATTTGGCAATTCGAAGCAACATATGTGTAATGGAGTTTTTTAGCTGCGGCTCGTATGGTGCTGGATCCTGCTGCAGGTGTAGTGGCCATGCTGGGTCTCTTAGACTCTTCTGTCTTCTGGTAGCTCCTTTGAGTTCCCTTATGTCCAAAGGCGAGGAAGTACGTTTTATATTATTGTATTGTATACCTGTTTATCAACAGAGTTACAGAGCTACATGTGTGCACCACTCAGTCACAGGTCGCTGGGTCTTCCTCTGTCTGCTGGTCTGATTTCTGACTATTGTTTCATTTTGCAGCACCAATGATTCAGCAACTGGAAACGACGCTTCGTTATAACGGCGTTCCTCAGCCGCCTCAGATGATGGTGCGTCCCGCCGCGAGTGGAATGATGCCAGCTGGAGGGCAAGGGGTGCGCAATGTCCCGCTCTCGAGAGCCACAACGTCGACCAATCAAGATCCTCGAATCCGACAGGCAGCGGAGAATCGGCTGGCTGCTGCCGGTGGACGGTTGTCAGCGGAGCAAGGTGCCGAAGCACCAAGGGTTGCAGCGCCTTCCTCTGTTAGTGGGAATGCGGCAACTGCGAAAGCGGTAGGCGTGTCTTCTCCACAATCGCCGGATGTTCCCAAAGTGGATTCAAACAAGGTAAGAGGCACAGCTGCAGGTGCCGCAGAGGCATCGGCGCCAGTGGAACAAGGCCGTGCTGAGGCATCGGCATCAGAATCGGCACCCAAGAAGACTGCAGGGAGTGAAGCAAGCAGGAGTAAGAACGGTGGTCGGTCGCCGGCCCCAGTAGACCCGTTGGGAGGAGCAAGGGCTATTGTTCAAGAGGAGATCACAAGAGAGTTCTCAAGGCTGATGGCAGACGGAGGGCTTGCGGCAAACGAAGCAGCTGTTCTGGCAATGCGGCATGTAATGGCTAGACATGGTCTTGCCAGCAATTCCCCAAGGACGCGAGCATGATTCTGAATGTAGTAGTCGATTGCCTTTGGGGCAATGAAATATTAAATTTGTAATGAAAAGTTCTCTGTAGCATATTGAGTTGTCTGTCCTCTGTAGCGGGCATTCACAATGGGCAAGTTTTGAGTACTTGTGTGTGTGTGTGTGTGTGTGTGTGTGTGTGTGTGTGTGAGAGAGAGAGAGAGAGAGAGAGAGAGCTGATATCTGAAAGAACCTGGCGGCTTATACTTGACAAATAACCAATATCTGGTCATGATTGAAAGCCTTGTGAGAAGTGGTTCTTGCTTCATTTTGGTTAGTCAAATCTCGCACTGATCATCTGCGGATGGAACTCCTTCGTTTGCTTGGTTTATCGACTCGAACAAACACACAGGTGTCTCTTTTCCAATAGACCAAAGACGACACACAGACAGATGGAAGTAGCATGCCCATGAAAGTGAAGGGCATAGTATCAAACCTTATTGGGGCCATTGCTGCTATGTGTGCTGATGGATGGCAAAATTCCCCTCCCTTTCACTTTTCGATTTGCTGGCAATGCTGGTTATTCATGTTAGCATGCTCTGACTACTTAATTTATGTGATTCGTCAATCTGCCTGTCCTTCCCAGCCTGTGTGGTCAGGGCTCATTGGCCACAGTGTGGACTGGCAACCATTTGCGCTCGGCTGCCGATGAAAGTTCTTTGCCGCCGAAGATCTTCACCTGACACAGCAGAAGTTGGAATCGACTTCGCCGTCCAATATGTTCACTTGGCACAGCAGAGCGTACCCTACGTTTATGTTTCTTCTGCACCCGATTGTCAAAGCAGTATCGGAGAGAGTGTTGTCACGGGTGGAGGCAATGCTGGGTTTGTCACAGGTTGTGGTGTTGACCTGCACCCATGCCCCTCCACCCCTCTACCCCTCTACCCCTCTACCCCCACCTGCCCCCCCACCTGCACAGCGTCCCCCCCCCCCCCCCCCCCCGCCTCTCTCCCGCCCTTCCCCCCGGCCCCCTTCCTCCCGCTCCCCTCATGATGCATGCCCCCACCTGAACACCCGCAGCGCCTGTGCCTTCCACCCCAATAGGCATTCCCTGCCTGCACCTGTAACCCTGTGACCCCCACCTTCCTCCGGCTCCCCCAGTGGTGCACACCCCCACCTCAACCCTATGCCTTCCACCTGCATAGGCTTCCCATGCTCCCACCCTCTACGACTGCAACCCTGTGGTCCCCACCTCAATGTGCCTCCTCTGCGGCCCCACCGCACCCTCCATCACGTTGCTGCCACTGGCCCTGGGCTCCCGCCTCTTGTTTTTTTTTTTTTTTTTTTTAAACACAACTATCTCTGAACATGAATTGCACTGTGCACCGAGGTTTGCTGAGCTTGGGTCCCATTGTATGTTAATTTCTGGTACTCGCCACAGTTACATCCGAAAAAGAACAAAGGAGGAGAAATAAACCTCCCTAGCACCCGTCATATAGCCATTCCCCATCAGAAACATTCTACGAGGTGCTAGTGAGACTGTGTCCTCGGTGGGGTGAGTGAGGCAGTTGTTTGCCCCGAGTGGAATCCGACCTGTCTTGCTGACAGGGCAGCAAAAGCAAATGAACCGAAGAACTGAAAGGGCCATTAACAACAGCAATCACGTTCCACACATGGTGGCCAGATACATTCCTCAAAGCAATGGTGCGACTTCCACCTCGGTGAGGGTCTTCCCCTACGTTGCTGGGTTCGAAAATCTTAACCCCCCCCTCTCCCCCCTCACTGCGGGCCCGTAGGGTCCCTACTTTTTTTTTGTTTCTTTCCTTTCCTGCCGAGCCCTCCTCCAGAACTCCGAACGAAGTTGCGGAACAGGACATAGTCCCACTTTTCCCAACACTGGGAAAGGTAGTGGTGGTTCAAACGAAACCAAAACGATTGCCCATCATTACTGGGCACCAGCCTGCAGGAATCAATTGCCGGCCCAGTTGTTGTAGAGGTAGGTTGGATACCTCAGGGAAGTACTTAGGCTTGATTCTTTGTCGACCCCAGGTAGGGTGTCTACGAAAGACCCATGCATGGAGTCGTTGAAATATCCGGAAATCCATACAGTGAAAGATTGCAGAGCATTCCAAAGGCTTACGCATTTGACAGGTGCGTTTCGGTAATCAGGCTTTCAGTTGTCCTGATGATCTGTGGAGGTTCGTACATGGGTCCCCCTATGGGGCAATGTATCTCCTGTAAACTAGTCCTTGTTGCAATACGAGCCCACCGCGGTGTGTACACACACACACACACACAGCCATTTGGACACCACCTATCGAAGACCTACTACTAGTTCCTGAGGCACACTGTTGGAACCCGTAATTTCCCGAGGTCGACCAGTGAGCAGTAGAACTCCTCGTCCCGCCAAGCAGACTCAGTGGGCATCCTACTACCCTTGATGCGACTCACCCGACCCACCCATCTTCTATGATGACACCCTCCATCCCATCTAGGCCGTGTTAGTTGATCCTACCTGCTGCCTATGCATCCCAGGCCTCAGGCCTCCTAAGATATTTCGTGCCAACACGCCCCTGGGACTAGTAAGTACTGATGTTTCCCCCCCCACCAACCATCACTTTACCGCCCCACAAATTCATGCTCCTCGTTATCCATAGTAGGCTTCGGAGCACAGCCCCATGGCCGGGCTGTTACTTCTCTACAGCAAACTCCGCCCCTGCAAGGTCTGGGGTTAACAGGGCTTGTCCCGGTGGGGGGGGGGGGGGTGTAATCCTCCGAAACCTATCCTATCCTGCCAGCTGTCCAATACATGCTCGATCGAGCGAGCGATGTATATGGAGCCGAAGATCTGCGAAGTGATGAAAAGGACTCAAATGGGCAATGCAGTGTCAGCGAAGCATCAACAAGCAATGTACACCCAGATACATACATAAGAAGTACAGTGTAGCGCAGCAGAAGACTTAAAGATATGACCTGACCTGTCAGATACTGATGTGACTGAACCCGTCACCTACTCGCATATGGGAATGGAATCAATGGATAGGTGTCATGTTTTTATTCACCGCTGCTACAATTGCTGGGCCCTGAAACTTGGGGCGGGGTGCAAAACATGAGAGTAAAAGGCTGGCTTACCTCCCCCCCCTCCGCCCCCCGAAACAAGAAAAAGACGTAAGGCTGGTGCACCTGTATGAAGTCAAAAGTACATCTCTTATGAGGAGTTTCTTTCACATGTCGAGGACCGGTAAGGTTTTGCGTGTTGTATCCAATTAAACCACATGCGCCACTGCTTGTGCAGGCCCCCGTCAATTCCTCTTTCAGCCTTTCGACCGTACTCGCCACGTGGAGTGTTTAACGCATTAGCTAGGTCCCTCGTCAAGGAGAAACCACCTCTGCTTATAGCTGTATTTGAGGCATCTTTTCAGTCTAGATACAACCATAATGACTGTACGTTGTATTCGGGGGAAATGGTTGTTTTCACCTCAAATACAGCTATAATGACCGTATGTTGTATTCGGGGGAAGAAGGTAGTCAGCACTGGACTACCAGAAGATGGTGTGACCTTATTACACAAATTATGTACCCTGAGATGGTATGTGAACTTGGGCCTGATGCCATCATGGTTCTAGCCTAGGTTGTGAAAGGGATGTCCATCTGGTACTGATTTAGTTCCAAGGATTCATCCTTACGCACATGGGTGGGTTATTGTTATGCGTTTATGCGTTTCGGAGCAGGCACTGCATCGTGTTACGACAGTTGGATGGCATACAGGTTTTGTGATCTTTCGATTTCTTTGTGCCGGGGTAGGGTCCGTGTCGGGGGGGTTGTCGCAGTTGTGGAAGTTCTGTATATGAGGTTTATGGTGGAGTGTGCCCGTTCTTGACCCGGCTGTGTCGGTTGCGTCGTCGTCTATCTATAGGTATTCGTTTGTTGTCCTTAGAAGATCCATTTTTACATATGAATGGCCCCTTCAAAATGATGTAGTGGGCTTAGAATAAGGGCTTTCCTTGCAAAAAAAAAGAAAAGAGGAAAAAAGAATGATGAGACACGAAAACCAGGAGATGGTCATTTTTTTAATATGTTTTCTCTAAAAAGGCCAGGCTGTTATAGAGGTCAAGGACCAGACCCAGACTGATCGCTGGCAGTGGCAGCCGAGGGTTGTCCTGACAGGGATAGGCCACCTTCCCTATCCTTCCCCTCGTTAGTACTCCCAGCGCACCCACCCCCTATCCCTACTATCTTACCTCACTGTGCCCAGCACACAGGACCATCACCCTAGTACCAGTATCGAGGGCAACTGGGACCAGACAGCAGTGACAAGCACCAAGGCTGCCAGTGGGCAGCCCCCCAGCCCCCCAGCCCTAGCAGAAGCGCGTAACTGGGTCTCAACGGGCATTCGCTTCTTCATCCATCCTCTTGAGTTATCTGGAAAGACTCTTGGTAGATTATGGATGTGGCCTTCATGGTGCTGACTGTAATGTCACCGATGGTCCCACTTGGGAAGAAATGTGTGTACGGTTCTCACCGATGTGTGTGTATGTTTCTCACGAATGGTCCCACTGGGACTTTGCTCAATGCGGTAGGTGTATCTTGGAAAAGGCCTATGCTAGTGTGCTGTCGGTAGGGAAAAGCCCGTCTTCCCCTGAATAGAATGCTGTTATTAATAACCGAAGGAGAGCTACCATCTTCACCCGGGGGATATTGCCACCTGGGGAGTATAAAGCCAGTCAAAATAGCTGCATTTGGTGCAACTTTCGGTGTAGATGCAGTGATAAAGACCGGGCGATCTATTCGTGTGAAGTCGGTAGCTATGAAGAATATCGTGCAAGTGGCCCATTCACACTGCTGTGAGAGGCCCAGTTTTCCGGAGGACCGGAGATAGGGAAAGGTAGTGTTTTCCGTTTTCCCCAGGATCATGGCAGGATGGGATGCTGTTAATATTCACAACGTAAGGAGTGCTAGTTATAAAGAATCCCGCGCTCCGGGCCCATGGGCACTCACTGAGTGCAACTGGTATATGGACTTGCTCGTGGCCTTGCTGTAGTAGGCCTAAAACTGCCCAGACTCTTTGTAACACGGGGCCAACGGTGACTACCTCCAAACCGACCACAGTGGCCGTATAGTGGTGCATGCTGGCAGATTGAACCTGGAGCCGGCGACTGATTGCAGCGGATCGGCTGGGAGAAGAGGTGGATGAAAATGATGGAGAACGGGAGGGGGGGAGTGTGGGAAGGAAGGGGAGGGGGTCGTGGGCTGGGATTATGTCAGATTGTTTTTTCTTTTTTGTTACACTTACCTGGCCTTCAGGTGGGTGGGTGAACACACACACACACACACACACACACACACACACACACACACACACACACACA